ATTTAGGGCCCCCACCCGCTGCTCAGGGGTGGGGGCCGGGGGGGAGGACAGTAGGTCCCCCCCCTCATTATTTTTATGGCCCCACCCACCGCGCAGGGGTGGGGGCCGGGGGGGAAGACAGTAGGGCCTCCCCCCCATTGTAATTAATGGCCCCCACCCGTTGCACAGGGGTGGGAGCTAATAGTTTTGTTTTTTTTGTTTGTTTGTTTTTTTACAGTGAGCAGCCACTGGCTGCTCACTGCTTACTAGACATGCCCCTACTCGCTGCATAGCGAGTAGGGGCAGATCATTTACTAATACTAAGTAATCTTTACTTACTATTAGTAAATGTGGCTGAAAGACCAATTTAGGTCTTTCAGCCTTTTAGTAGATAACTCCCTAATACCGTGGGAATTAGGGAGTTATCTACTAAGCGGCTGCAAGATGCAGCCGCGGATCGGAGTTTGCATGCCACAGTCCAGGTGTTAGTCCCCTTGAAACATCTTGTGTGTTTTAAAATTCGCCTGTCTATTGAAGTCTATGGCGGTTCGCCCGGTTCGCGGGTTCGCGAACATTTGCCGAAATTCGCGTTCGCCGTTCGCGAACCGAAAATCTTATGTTCGCGACATCACTATTAGTGATATTAAGGTTATATTACTCTCCTATACTAGTGACATAAAGGTTATATTACTCTCCTATACTAGTGACATTAAGGTTATATTACACTCCTATACTAGTGATATTAAGGTTATATTACACTCCTATATTAGTGACATTAAGGTTATATTTCTCTCCTATACTAGTGACATTAAGGTTATATTACTCTCCTATACTAGTGATATTAAGGTTATATTACACTCCTATACTAGTGACATTAAGGTTATATTACTCTCCTATACTAGTGATATTAAGGTTATATTACTCTCCTATACTAGTGACATTAAGGTTATATTACACTCCTATACTAGTGATATTAAGGTTATTTTACTCTCCTATACTAGTGATATTAAGGTTATATTACTCTCCTATACTAGTGATATTAAGGTTATATTACACTCCTATATTAGTGACATTAAGGTTATATTTCTCTCCTATACTAGTGACATTAAGGTTATATTACTCTCCTATACTAGTGATATTAAGGTTATATTACACTCCTATACTAGTGACATTAAGGTTATATTACTCTCCTATACTAGTGATATTAAGGTTCTGGTAAGAAACACGATTTGGGAACAGTTTGTACCACAATGAAGTTCGCCCCTATCAGCATGTAATTTAATTACAACATAATGTTATTGAATGAGCTGATTTGTAATAAAATAAAATTCTACTTAGAACAATTACTTTATAAAATAGTGTGTTAATTATTATTGTTCTAGGGATACACGTTTCCACATAGAGTGTTATTTATATAATTAAGACATTCCAGTTCATACAGGAATGTTTGTTTTATTTTGTGCACATATTTATCTACAGAGATATAAACCTTTAAACTATTCCATGAATTCTCCCCGAGGAACGCCAAGCACACCTCCTGTGACAGTAAGAATATATAAATAAATTACGTTAGGAGGAATTCCTCATAATTACCCAATAATCCCATTTAATCCGCATCCTCCCTCCTGTAAAACGTATGACTGATCTGTCCATGGGAGGTATAAAAGTGTAGAGTTTCCTTGGGAGAGGAATTCAAACACTGTGAGACTAGAAACAAGTCGTTACAGCATGGCTCGGGGACTCTGCATCTCAATGGCCAAAACATGGCTTTTGGTTGCCGGTTTCATTCTGACCGCGCAGAACACAGGTAAGGCAGACTTTCTGTGTCTCCATCTGGTTTTTCTCCTATTCCATCTTTCTTTCTTATTTTCCTTTTCTTATATATTTTTTTTTTTCAGATGCAGCAACTACCAGTGCTCCAGGTATGTATTACTCAGGATAACGCAGACAGAAGAGACAAGGAATTTCTCTCTTCCTCTGCAGGATGACACAGCAACACAGATAGAACAAGCTGAATCTTTGCACCCCCTACCCCTACCCTCTGCAGGTTGGCACAGTGACACAGACAGAATGAGCTATGGGTTTCTAGCGCCCCCTGCAGGTTGGCACAGTGATACAGGCAGAATGAGCTAATGGTTCATAGCGCCCCCTGCAGGGTGGCACAGGGACACAGACAGAATGAGCTATGGGTTTGTAGCGTCCCCTGCAGGATGACACATTGACACAGACAGGATGAGCTATGGGTTTGTAGCGCCCCCTGCAGGTTGGCACAGTGATACAGGCAGAATGAGCTAATGGTTCATAGCGCCCCCTGCAGGGTGGCACAGTGACACAGACAGAATGATCTATGGGTTTGTAGCACGCCATGCAGCTTGGCACAGTGATACAGGCAGAATGAGGTAATGGATGGTAGCGCCCCCTGCAGGATGACACCACGACACAGACAGGGTGAGCTAATGGTTAGTAATGCCCTCTGCAGGATGACACATTGACACAGACAGAATGAGCTATGGGTTTGTTGTGCCCCCTGCAGGTTGGCACAGGGACACAGACAGAATGAGCTATTGGTTCGTAGCGCCCCCTGCAGGGTGGCACAGTGACACAGACAGAATGAGCTATGGGTTTGTAGCGCCCCCTGCAGCTTGGCACAGTGATACAGACAGAATGAGCTATGGGTTTGTAGCACCCATTGCCAGTTGGCACAGTGGCACAGACAAGGGGCCTATGTATATGGTGATAATGACATGTTTTTTCCGTGGCTGAATGTTGATTCTCCCTTCTCTTGTCACAGCTCCGGTCCCTGGCTGGGGAATAGCTCTTTTGGTTTTGGTGTCAATCATTTTGGCCTGTCTCCTGCTATCTATGTGCTGTTTGGTAAGTTCGATGGTCTTATCTTCCATTTATCTCTATCTGCAGGTTTGAGTTTTCTACAAATTCTGTGAACTCTGTATCATTTGAATCTGCTTAGAGCTGGGCAGCCACGAAATGCCAGTTTTGGTACTCAATTTCATGGCCATTTTGAAACATGGCAACTGAGACCTATAGTCATCTAATGGCATCGACCTCTGGTAAAGGAACACTTTAGGCATCATAAGATCTTCACTAAAATGATGTTGTGTTGGTGCAAGAGGTGCTCAAGAGCCAGATTACCTCAAGGGGTTAAACCCAGGGGCATACCTAGAGCATTTGGCACCTGGGGCGGATTCAATTTTTGGTAACCCACCACCCCCCAAACTTTAAAAAAGAAAAGAAAAAAAAATGTTTTTTTTTTTTTCAATTTATAATTTTTTTTATTGAATTCTTTGTTAAAATAAGCTTAGCGGTTACAGAAAAGCAAGGTACATGTTAGTAAGTATCACACGTGCTAGACATCGCACACATTTAGTACCAGCAAGTACAATATTTACAAAGGTACAACAATGATTGCAGGTTATAGCAGGGTACAATTTTTTGTACACGTTGCGTATTTAGCTTATGTGTTATTACTTTACGGTGTGTGGTCATTGTGCGTGTAGTAGGTATATCAGGTAAAGCTGCGTTTTAGGTGTAGCTCTATTTAATACTACAATTTTAGGATTTGTGCCACAAGAGGCCTGCTCACCCCTGCTTTCGTCCTTCTCCTAAGGCGGTGCAATTTGTACCTCAACTCTGGTTAACCCCTAAGATAGAAAGGTTACATAGAAACAAAGGGGGTATGTAAGGGGGGTTTCACTCCAGTGACTCACTTGAAACTGTGAACTTATTTTGCATCTTGCATATCTTTAACTAACCTAATTAAGAGGACTAAAATGTCTGCCTTGGGCCAGATTTCCCTGTGGTCACTCCGTCCAACCCCATCCCTGGGTGGGTAAATTAAACATAGTGGTTATAAAAAGACAAAGGGCCTATTAGTAAGCATCTCATGTGCCATGCATCGAACACCCTGGTGCCAGCATGCTCAAATTTTAACATGGTACAGGTATATCAAGGGTGCATGATATGATGTAGTGCAACTTGTAGTTATGAATCACTTGCGTAGAAACACGTTATATTGCCTGATCCTTATACATGTAAAAGGTACACCAGGTAGAGCTATGTTATGGGCCTTGCACTAATACTTCAGCTGCAAAGGTTGTAACGTGAGAAGCTTTGTCGTCATCAGTACCCTTGATTGGTAGGAAAAAGAAAAAAAGAGAAAAAGGAGGGGGAAAGTTAGAGGGAGGGTTAGTTTCACTCCATAGACACACTTGAAATCCTGAGCTAATTTTACCTCAAAGAACCTTTAGCTAACATGACTAAGATGACTGCCCGTCCCACTATCTATCCATCCTAAGTCCTGGGATGGTCAGAGCGAGTACAATGCACCTAGTTGTTCATTCACCACCTTGGTTGGTAAACAGTGCCTAGGAAGCTAGTAAATTAGCGCAGTGCCTCTAATACATTTAACTCGCCAATCAAAATCGTACTTGGTTTGTAAGATTTGCTTAAGTTGTTTGGGTAAATTGATGGGTAATGCCTGTGTTTTGGACGTATTATTTTTATAATATGAAATTTGACCATATAGGGAAAGCTGGTGCATTAATGGTGGTAAGGAGTTAAGCGGTTCGCACAAAAATATCAAAATGTCATTTGCAAATACCGATAGTTTTTTTTCCCCAGCCGGGGTCGACAGGCCTTTAATTACTGTAGTGGATTTAATGCTACGTATTAGAGGTTCTAAGCAAAGAATAAATATAAGTGGTGAGAGAGGGCAACCTTGCCGCGTACCATTGGAGATATGGAATGCAGATGACAGGAAACCAGTATTAAATACCTTTGCCGTGGGGTTGGAATAGAGTACCTAAATGCTCCGGACAAAGGCCTTGGAGAAGCCCAACCTGGAGAGTGTAGAATCAATATAGGACCAGTTTAAACAGTCAAAGGCCTTCTCTGCTTCCAAAGCCAAAATAATGCCTATTGTTCACCCATTCTATCAGGTCCAATGCTAATCGGGTATTGTCCCCCACCTACCGGTTCGGGACAAACCCTGCTTGTTCAGCCGAGACTAGCTGCGGGAGTAATGGTTTGATTCGGGGTGCAAGGAGTTTGGCGTATAGCTTAAGGTCTGCATTGAGCAGCGATAATAATGTATTTAACACTGAGCAGTATGTGTGTGTTTTGTATTTTTTTAAATCTATTTATAATGTATTTAGCAATGAGCAGTGTTTGTGTGTTTGAATGTAAGCATGTTTTTGTATGAAGTATGTGTGAGTGAATGTGGAGGTGTGTTTGTATGTAGTGTTGGCATTTGATTGCAGGCATACATCTGATGTGTGTAGTGTGGTTTTTCAATGCAGTAGGGTGTTTATATATAATGGTGGTGTTTTAATACAGAGTGTGTTTGTATGTAGAGTTGATGTTTGAATGCAGGAGTGTATTTGTGTGTTGTGTTGACAAGATGCGAGATGTATGCACCTATATACATACATGCACATATACATACACTGATACACATGCAGGTGCATAGACGCACAGATGCACAATGGCAGACAGATACACACACACACATACACTGACACACAGATACACACACCCACACACCCAGATTCACATATACATAGGTACACACAGACACAAATACAGACACACAGACACAAATACAGACACACAGATACACACACTGACACACACAGAGATACACATATACAGACACACAGAGATACAAGTGCACACACTGACACAGATACAGATGCCTAGGGCCATCGGAAGCAGTGCCCTGGGCACCCACCCAATGAATAGCACCCGGGGTGGACTGCCCCTTAATACACCACTGGTTAAACTGTTAACAAATAGTTAAACTGCACAGTACTAAATTTGGCATGTGATCACCATGTCCCTCTCCTTCCGTCACAGTCTGAGTCAGTTGCTATGTATATGGTAAGAGTAATACATGTAGAACATGTTTGATTCATACAGGTTCCATGCAGAGTACTATGTAGAACATATGTGATACGTACAGGTTACATGCAGAGAACTATGTAGAACATGTGTGATACATACATGTTCCATGCAGAGTACTGTAGCAGAGCTCCCTGTACCCCAACTGGATACCTCCACCAAGGATCACTTCCTAGCTGGAACCGGGGAAAACCTCAGTGCTTCTGCCCCAGTTGTCGTGGCTTGACTGGGGTCCTCCTGGAACTTCTCCATCCTGGAACAGTTTCCTCCCAGGGATTGGATGACACACAGTCCTGGGAGCTATAGTCCTTACAAGGACTTTTCCCGCCGAATCATCCACGAGCTAGTGCAAGGCAATGAGCAATCAATGGCCCTTTCCCTCCCAGTAACTAGACGACACATAGTCTGGGAGCACAACTGATTTTAATGAGCCAAACGTGGCCTTTTATGCACAATACAATTCAAGCACAAGCCCCAAACAATACAATCTAAGCCAGGAATCTCTGGGCATGGGAGAAAATTGAGTTAAAGATCAGTAAGTGAATTATCGCCAGGAACAGAGAGCCAAACACTAAAACATAAAAACATAAAAGTACCCTAAAACATAATAAAAACATACAATAACCCCAATGTCTTACATGCCCAAACAGCATCTGATCTGATCTGAGTGCTCAAGTTGTCCAAAGCAAGATCCATTCAGTGTAGGGGAAATGCCATTGGGACAAAGTTCTGACCAGCTATACTCGTGGTCGTAAGCCCAAAATATTTCCAGAGCGTTTGGCGATTTTGACGGGCAACTTTCGGGAGGTACTACGTCCGAAATACGGGGTGCTCTACCTGGTTCTCAAAGAATGTTTGTTCCTCTTAGTCTCAGGCATCTTGCCTCCAAAAAGTGCACCCCTGGCAGGTCACAAAGTGGTTTAAAACCCCAGACCAAGTTACCCAGGAACCACAAGGTCACCTAGCCGAAAACAGTTCCATAACATTCGCGGCTAAGTACCGCTGAGGTGACTGGAAACCACGAAGTCCTCATGCTGAAATTAGTTCCATAGCGGTAATGGCTAAGTACTGCTGAGGACCGTTTGTGCGTTTGGTCATGCAAACAGCATACAGGTTCCATGCAGAGTACTATGGAGAACATGTGTGATACATACAGGTTCCATGCAGAGTACTATGGACAACATGTGTGATACATATAGGTTCTATGCAGGGTACTATAAAGAACATGTGTGATACATACAGGTCCCATGCAGGGTACTATGGAGAAAATAGCGAGACTGTAATGTGCAGAGACTAATCAATATGTTACGAGTATTAGTCTGATGTCGCTTTAAAATTCATAGAGGTGGCAATAATCTGTAATGATGTCACGGGGCATTATTTAAAAACTTGTTGCTATGCTCCTAGCGCTCACCAAAGGACCATCAGCACCATAGACACTATAAGCACTGCAGACTCCACGAACCGCCGCTGCTGGGCTAGGATCTCGCCGTCTGCTATCCTTCCTGGACCTATGACCAGGCTCCAGGTTCCAGTAGGTGAACCTCTTCCTTTTGTAGAGCGAAGGAGGATCAGGAACAAGAGCTCTTTCAAGAGCTGAGTAGACAAGGGAGTATGAAGAGCATAGCAATCCCTGTAGTGATTAAAGCTGTCCCTTCAAACATGAGTCAGGGCTGCAAGTTAGAGGGTCAAGTCATTCTCATTTATTTGGCACCAAAGGGCCTTCTTTTATGCAGGTTTTCCTTACGTAGGACCACCCACAGGGTTTTACAGAACAACCAATAACACAGGTACATTACAGAAAACACTCCCAGCAATTACACACAAAATCCTCCCTACTGCCTGTGATATAATTATGGTACACAATGGTTAACATAATTATCATAGGCAGAAAAAATAAAGTTTTTATACATGTGCTAAAACTTTAAAACCATACATCCAATCTTCACATATTATTAATCAGCATCCTTTAAATATAAACATACTCAAAAATCACAAAAATCCGTCCAGTAGATCAAAAGTTAGCTGGAAGTCCTTTATGACCGACCATAAGCACATTTTAATGCCCAAAACAGTTCCATATATTTGGGCTGTGCGGTCAGTCTATTTCAGGCTGAAAAAATGACTTAGTCTCTGCAGCTTAAAGTTCAGTATGGGAGAAGGTACAGGTCAACGGTGTTCTCAGAAATGTGCAGCCGATTTTAGTTCCATTAATTTGGCTGCACACACCGCTGACCGTATTTGAATGAATAAAGATGGCGCCGCGACGTGTTTGTTTGCGTGAACGGCAGCCACCCAGCGTTCGGCAATTTACCTACAGCAATCCCACAACCTGGAAGGTAAATTGCCTGCACACTTCCACTTCTGGGTGGTCCACCTGTGTGGTACTTGGTTCAGTGATCCCTTTTTTCTGAGCCAAGTGTAAAGAAGCCAGGAACAAAATACTTTTAACAAGTTTAGGGACACCGTCTTAAAGGGGCATTGTCCCAATTTTCTCTATGTCCCAAAAATGTGCTTAAAGGGCCAGCACCAGTCCCATAAAAAGTCCATAAGCCCCAATATGCTCACAGACTGTTCTTAAAGGGCCATACACACCCAGTCCATAGTTATGGGGGAGGAGGCTGGAAAATAGGCTCCTCCATAATCCATTGAAGCAGGGCAATTTGTAACACTCCTAATCCCTCTGGCCATTCTAGATTCAAAGTCCCTTCTAATTGGTAAAGTGGCTGTATCACAGAGGTTCTAGATTTACAATTCATGTTGACTGTAACCTGTTTTCATTTATTCTGACTGTGGAACGCATGGTATAATCTTAAACTAACCTTAGACATTATTACAATAGTTTTAATCACTGTATCGTGTTATGTTTTCTTTTCCAGCCTTTCTTGTGCTGTAGAAGTAGCAGCGGAGACAACAATCAAAATGACCAGACATTTTACATGCCTCATTTCCGACTCAGCAAGAGGAGCGCACAGAATTAAATTTTAAACCAGCTGGTATTCGTAAATGACTATCTGAAAGTGCCATTGGTCCAGGAGTAAAGCAATGCACCGTGGGCCCTAATTTATTGCCATCCTCTATTCATAGTTAACATTGAGGTTAACAAATAATGGGGAATGTCTTCTTACAGTGCCAATAATTTACCCAAAGTCATAGACTCCCCCACCTCTTAAATCTCATACCGAAAGTGCCAGGAATGATGGAATAGAGCCCCCTACTGCCCCTTCCCCCCGCCATATCTATATCAGGGCTTGTTTATTAGATTATAATAATTATGTGAGGATCTCGTTTAACGATTGTCTTAAAGGGACCAGCAATGCTTAAATAGAAAGGGATGATACATTTTTATAAATATAGATTTTATAAAAAAGCACCTTTTGAGAAATGAAAATATATATATGTAAAAGTCAAGTTACGATTCCCTATGTAACTGTGTGCCATGTGAATTATCCATTATCAATGGGTTGATTCAATTCTAGACGGACTGTGATATAAAGATAATACTTTCATTTGCCTTTACCGGGAAAACATGTACACGTTTACTTTGTGCCTGTGATTTCACAGATTGTCCCAAAATGTATTCCTGTAGCAAAGAAATGTAGAAGGAATATTGATAAATATTAAAGTTTTTCAATGTGCTATCTTATGTAGAAACACTTTATATGACGGAATTTCGAGCAGTTTGATTTATGATTTTTTCTGAATTTTCTCGCTTGGATTTTGCAATTCATTGTGGATCCCAAAACGATATTTATGATTGTTAAGTTCTTTTAATACCTCACTGATAATGTCAGCATGTTTTCTATAATGTATTTTCCCATTTTGTGTATTTTCATCATACTTTAAAACAAGAAGATTTGGCCAATTTTATATATATTTTGGAATTAGAAAACTCATTAAAATAACCTTTTTAAAGCATTGCTATGAATCCCCCTCCTTTGTTCTCTTTCTCTTTATCACTCAGACAATATATTAATAATTTGGGGTTTGACTTTGCAGAATTGATTACTTTCCCTGTAAAACGAATTTATACCGTTACCGAATCCCATTTGGTAAATTGTTTTGCTGCAAGGACAGATCTGTTTTTCTTATTGGGATTTTTATTGTTGATTACGGTCACCATAATGGGCTATATATTTCAGTTTTACTATTCCTTATTACCATGTCCTGATGGCAGACTGCCCTGTGATGCCATGTGAGGGAGCAGAAAGGACAAATCAAAGACAAAAGAAAAACACCAACATTAAAAGTACTGTGACTTTTTTCTTGCCTAAATGTTGCCATTGGACTCACAATATATTACAAGTCACAAAAACAGATCAAACTCTATCCATCGATAGTTACAAGATGTTAACCTGTGAACATGAGATTTTATATATAAACGTCTGACTGTAAGGTTGTAGTTGTTGTCAGACCGTGGGTCCTAAAACCAGAACCTACCCGATGTTCTGCAGAGGGTAGATTTAAATGAAAAGAAGATGATGGCTTCTGTGCTTGTAAAAGCTACCGTCCAACGTATAATGACCTAAAAAAGTAAATTACACACTTAACTATTTTAATCTGTATCATTGGCCTTCAAAATGTAATGCATAATTAAATTCCAACCAACCTAGAAGTAGATATAATTGATACAAGTGTCAGAAATCACAATTCCTAGTATGAACCCCTTTTATGAACCTGTGGGAAAAAGTCAGGAAAATCAGGACACATCATCCAGGTTTAAACATTTATATTTACTTTAGTAGAATGTTATAAGTGACTGTAATAACGTTTGTAACCAGTAGGGGCAAAATCCCCATGGTCTCCGGCTGAATTCGTGCTTATTCGTGAGTTTGTTGTAATTACTTAAAGAACTAGGTAGAGGTTGAAACATACAAATAGATACATCCTAAGTGGCATTCGAAAACCGAACAGAAAGATGTTATATGTATATCACCGAATGATAGCGTTCGTTAGATTAGGAAAAAGTGAAACATGCGAGTAGATGAGGGAATTAGCCGAAAGGCATAATGCATGAAAAGAAAAAGAACCGAACTCTGGTGTCAAACGAACGGGGCTCCGCCGTGTAAAGCAAGGAAGTTTGCGGCGGTTGCTTTACGGCGGGCCTGACTTACGTTTTTTTGCGGTGGCAAAGTAACGAGCGGGCTGTGCGGACACCGGCAACGGATAGGAGAGCCAGGGAAGCAGTGGACCAGGAGACCACGAGGAAACAGGTAAGGAAAATCCAAGATGGCGATCTGAACCGGAAGTAAAAGTTTCAGACTAATTTATTTCTAATATATCCAAAAAGGAATATAAGATCAATTCTATCCTCACCTGCCACTCTAGTAATGTGATATATCTCCTCTGGTGCCCTTGTGGACTCCAGTATGTGGGAATGACCACGAGAACATTAAAAACCCGCACGCTGGAACACTTGGGCAATATACAGAGGGGGTATGCCAAACACAGTGTCTCCGCACATTTCTTACAATGTCACAACAGTGATCCTTCACATGTCAATTTTATTGCCATTGCCCAAAAGAAAAAGGATTGGAGGGGTGAAGATAATTTCAAAGAACTCTGCAAAATTGAAAGTAGGTGGATATTCGAATTAAACACTTTATCCCCTAAGGGCTTGAATTTAGATTTTGAATTGGCTCACTTTTTATAATTATTTTTTTTTTTTTTTCACTCACCCATCCTATTCTATATGGGCTACATTTACATAACCTAGACGTGATGTATACCTTTAAGATACCACATACTATGTGCCCATATGTTGTTGTTTTTTATTAATACATATATATTCTTCTTTTTTCCCTTTGGTATGCAGCATTGCACTATTGTTGCTATTTGCACAAATAGTTATGTCTCTTTTCATGTTATAAATGACTACCTATATGCACACACTTTATAATATATGAAAGGTGCCCATCTTTAATATGGAGCTTTTTGCTTCATTTGGGCAAATGTACTAACAAATCTATCTGAAACTGACATAAGGTATTATGTGTTTATAATGTTGTTTACCAATTAATTTTCTCTTTTATACATATCATTGTATGATTACTGCTATTTGTATAGACAATTATGTCACTTTTCTCAGTATAAATCATTGTTCCTGTATGCACTCTAATAATCATACAATATGCCCATTCACTACATGGAGTTTTCAGCTTCAACTGGGCAAATGCATTGAATACAACCAAGCAGGAAAATGAGTGCCGAAATACCGGAAGTGACGTCAGACGCCGGCCACTCGAACTTCCGCCCACGTGACCGGCAATTAGAATAAGCAGTGATTTTAAAATGGAACAGCAGCTGGATGTTTTATGCACTGATGAAAACTCGGACTGAGTTGAAACGCGTCTGCATGACTGTGATTCTGTGTGTCACCATATGGGACCTGCACAGTTACTATTTTAATTTTTTATTTTTACTTACAATAAATTTATTATTTTTTATTCATCTTTCTGCTGCTGTTTTTTCCTACTTCTGGGGGATACTATCCAAGATTCTCCACAGAGCCTTCTGAGGCACCCTTGGGCACCATATACAGAGCCTGGCACGGCTCTGAAATCCGTGAGTGTATTCAATCACTTCCATATTTCCTTCTTTTGTATATACAGGCTATACTATGTACTATTTTTTATCTTTATAGGTTTTTACATGGACCATCTCCTATATGTACCTGTACATGTATAAGTATTATTATTGCCTGTTTTGATACACAGGGAGTGGTGTGTGTATTTGGCACCTGTTGCTTTTAGTACCCTTTTCTATTACTTGATTTTAGGGTGTTGGGGAACACCCTTTCCACTCCAACTGTGCTACTGTTTTACTGTGTAAGCGCCATTCACTTTCCTTCTTTTTTGTAAAGTTTCAGACTCACCAGACCAGCAACGGTAAGGTGGGAGTGGATTGGCAGCCCTTTTAAAGGGAATTAAAGCCCCTCCCACAACTACAGGCCAAGCCTTCAAATATATATATATAAGTGTATGCATGTATGTATGTGTAACGGAACGTTTCACCACATAAGGTGTTAAAATCGTTTAGTCGATCGTACCCTTCCAGAGATGCAGGCACAGCTACTGCAGAACACCAATCCGCCGAACAGGAAACCATACGAATGCCGTAAACAGCCAAATAGGAAAAACCATACGGATAGGTTTACATTCCTAGCAGTCAAACTGGAACAGCATACAATAAATCCCCCCAAGAACGAGACAAAGCTCTGTGTTGAGGGTCAAGCAGTGAACAGACAGAGCTGTGGGTTTATTATGCTTATGTACACATTCTTACACATTAGTACCACCCACAGGGTTTTGGAACACAACCAATAAACACATACAATACACTCAGACACTCCCACACAAATTCCTCCCCTCTGCTTGTGATTCAATTACCTTACACAATGGGTAATGTAATTTAGCACAAGCAGAAAAATACAATTTTTCCACATTATTCATAACTTGAAAAGTATGCATTTTCAGAATCAGCATACTCCAAACACAAACATACGTCAAAATCATACAATTTGGTCCTGTGGTTCAAAAG